CTTTATAAACAGCCCACTGCCTGTGTTATGTGGGGTGGGTATAGCTGCATGGAGGCAGGGCTGTGTACAGATCACAGTACCTTGGTGGTCCCAATGTACTCTATGCATGCTGTGCTAGGTGAAGTGTACCATGGACCGGATGCAGCCTGCTTAGCCTCTCCTCTGCTTCCTGCTGCAGTATCTCGGAGACACTTCCTGGTTCTATCAGCCAGGAGGATTACAGCACTGTACTTGGATTGGCTAGCATACAGTATAGCCAGTGCTGGTTTAATCTAGGCCAGTGTTTCCTAAACTATGGGTCAGTACCCAAAATGAGTTGCAGATGTGCTTGTGATGGGTCACCACATGAGTTAATAAAGCCCAAACCCAAAATGATTGACAACAACTGATCTACAGACATAAAACAATCTGACTTGTCTCTTGAACAGGTGTCTCTGAATTTTTAATACATTATAAGGTGTTCAAATCAGCTACGTTATCGCAATGTTCTACAATACATCTGAAAATAGTGGGATGGCAACCTGCCATCACTAAACACTCTTCTTTGTTGTACTTCAGTTTACTAGTCGCTGTTGTTTCTTTTCACAAAAACAAAGCATATTGTGTTGCATCATAGGAAAGGTGTAAAGAGGTGATTATTTAATTAGAGGCGCATGTTTACATCTCAATACGCCAATATAACAATCTGCAAGTGCTGATACTTATCACAGCACGCACTGATGAAAATCAAAGGAAAACATTATTTGATGCTCTGTAGCATCTAGAATAATAAAAAAAAACAGAAAAACGTACAGTGAAATGTTTGTCTTGCTATGGCCTGAAGCAGTGTAGTGAATTCAAACACTCGAGAGGCTATTTGCACAGAGCTTCTAACTTGTTAATACCAGCTGTCATATTAATGGAAAGGATAGGGACTGTACATGCAGTCATGTCCAGCTACTTAAATCTATGCATATGTATGTTCAATGACTTTCTATATACCGAGTAGACAGTCCTTAGTGTCAATTCATAAAAGCCCAACACATGTTGTATTTTTTCTCTTGTGCAATCCCTAATTTTTTTATGGCAGATGAGACTGTGTCAGCAATTTTTTATTTGTACATTGAGCCTTACATGCGCAGGTCAGTGCACAGGCTCGGCAAGGTCCTGTGCCGAAATGAAGTAACTCCTGTGTGCATGCGCAGGAGTTGCATCATCCATGCTTGGCCAGTCTTGAACTCCAGTCAGAGCGTATAGTGACTTCACCTTTAGCAGCTGCCTTTCCCATAAGGCAAGTAGACCTACCAGTACTTGGATGCCCCCAAGAATTAGACTATATACTCTGACTATAAATGTTGCAGGCAGGCTCCAGGTACAGAGCAGTAGTACTGACTGGTGACAAGATACAATAAATAAACGGAAAGCAAGATACAAGACAGAGACAGGATGCAAAGAACAAGACAGGAACAGGATACAAGATCAAGATATACAGTGGCAGGGTAATGGATTGAGCAGACAGAACTAGACCACACTAGACAGAACTATCACAAGCCCAAAGCCCTGGGCTTGTCAAGCAGCACAAATCAATCCCAAGGCTGAGGGGTGTCTGGCCAGGATAATTAGCCCACAGCTGATGGAGAGATGCTGAGTGTGTGGCCAGGCTGATGAGTGCACAGCTGATGAGTGCACAGCTGACAAGAAGACTGGGATAGGTGCAGTGGCAACAAGCAACCACCAGGAGGAGCTGGGAGGTTGCCACAGGCATAAGAGGTTTAGACATGCTCCTAACAAGACACTGAACTATTGTACAGGTGAAACTCGAATAATTAGAATATCGTGCAAAAGTTCATTTATTTCACTAATGCAACTTAAAAGGTGAAGCTAATATTTGAGATAGACTCATTACATGCAAAGCACAATAGTTCAAGCCGTGATTTGTCATAATTGTGAGGATTATGGCTTACAGCTCATGAAAACCCCAAATCCACAATCTTTTGCACAATATTCCAATTATTCGAGTTTCACCTGTATATGATGGTTTAGGAAACTGACATGGCAGTGTCCTTTCCAGTGGAGAGCTGGTATAGGCAAAGCTCCTGAATCTTTCAGGGTATTATCAATGTCTCTCTGTTAGAGGCTAATTACAAAGTGTGGAGGTGGTATTTGGTCCACTCTCCCCTATTGATCATGTATTTGGGCACCTCTGCACTTTTTTTTGGAGGTTGTCACTGGCATCCAAGTAGCAATATGCACTTCTCAGTTAACCAGTCCAGGGTGTCCTGACATGCTTGGAAAACCCCCAATGTGTCTTAGGCCCCATTCACACTGCGTGATTCGCAAATCGCGCGTTTGTCGCGCTATTTGCATTTTGCGCGATATTGCGCAAGCTAGAAACGCGGCAAAATCCGCTCCAAAAAGGGTCCTGCTGTAGCGACGCACGGTCCGCGACAGCAGGACCCTTTGTCCCACTGCCAAGCATTGGAGAGCGATATCGCGTGGTAAATAGCCGCGATATCGCGGGAATTACCGCGCGATAAATCGCTCAGTGTGAACGGGGCCTTAATCTTTAACTAAATGTAACATTTCTTGGATCATGGCACGTTAGAAACTCCCCAGTATTCTTAAGGATAAACACCAACAGTTTGAGAGCACCTGGGACCCATAAATAAACATAGAGCAAGAGGCATAATGCAGCTAGTTGGTTGGTTAGCCTTAATGTGTACCTCAACCCAACATAAAAATGTAATATATTGCAGCTTACCAATCCTTTAATGTGGTGACTGCATAAGTTTTAATTATTTAGGCTTTTTCTCCATTTATTTTCACCTGGTGATCTGGCCAGTAACACATTTCCTGTCTTAGGATGGCTCCACACTATGGAGGAGCAATGGATCCACCTTTGGACAGCAGCATTGTTACCCTTTTGAGAGGGAAGTGCTAGATGGACTAGCAAATTTAGATAGACTTGACTAACAAATTACATCTAAATTCAAGCTAACACCTTTTGAGCAGTTACAGTTAGTATGGGGATAAAGGTTTTAAAAAAATGAATAAAAGCTAATCATTTTAAGCACCCCTGTCGGCGTTAAATGGTTTGTCTCAACCCTCTATCTGCCACATAGCTTGATCTCTTAAGTGCTTCTGTTGCAGTGCCTTTTTGAGATATGTTTTTGACGTGCTTCATAATGTCTTGCCATTCCTATTCAAGGCTCTTATAACGTGCAGGGATGAATGAAAAAATTACCTTGACTTTTGTGGCCAATGCATGTCAATGTGCTGCATAAAGGATGTGCAGTTGCTTGGTGCAAACCCAGTTCGCCTCAGTTCATCCAAGCCCACGCAAAACTGCCTGCCTGACACAACCCCCTCCTTGCCAAATCAGTTACTGCATACGCATTCCCAACCCCGCAGCTATGCGTCACCAAGGGGCTGGAATGCCCCTCTTATAACCGATTGGGTCAAGAGGGGAGCGTGTTATGCAGTTTTATGCGGACTTGGGTAACCTAAGGCGAACTGGATTTGCACCAAGCCCCTGCTCATCACTAATGTGAACTAGCACAATTAAAAACAATGGCAATCCTCATTGTTAACATGCGTGTTAAAAAGCACAGGTGTAAAAGGGCATTAACTAGTGCTCAGCATACAAGATAATGTGTGTGTATCTCTCTCTTTTGTGTCTATGCCTCTTTTAATACAGTACGTTTGCATACAAAGCATTATACAACCCATTTAAATACAAGAACATATCTAGTTAGCTCTAGAAGCTTGGTATTGAATGACTTAATTAAATATATAAATATATGACACGCAGACTCTTTATCTAAGCCAATAGATCTTAAAACCATACATATCTTTCCTACTATAGAAGCTAAACTTACAGGTCTGTAGTTACTGGGTAAAGAATTTAATATTAAAACCTAACAACAGTTATGGACCAATTTTATAAAGGTTAATGTGAACTGAACCAGGAAATAGGGCTGCCATCCTTGTGGTTATGCAGTAGTGAAAGGGTTTGAATCACAAGACTGCCTGAACAGCATTACAGGAACTGCAGGTAAAAACCTTAACTGGAAACCAAGCACATCTATTGTTATATTTATTTCTACGTACTGATTAACAAGTACCTACAAGCTGCCTATGTTTTGGCATTAAATGCTTGTATGCTGGTAAAGCACATTCTAAATTACAATAAAAAAAGATTCTGCAGACTAGACTCCAACAGGTATTGCATTAGATAACACTTTGTAGTTTATTTTACAGGAAGAAAATGACAGTTCAATGAAAAAAAATAACACTGTACATAAATCCTTTAGACAAATAATGTTGGTGTACGAGCTTTATAATAAAAAATAAGCAACATGAAGGCTGATGAAGGGGTTAAGTTTACCTCAAAATGTGTTCCGTATTTTTGGACTTGCACACATGAAATTGGAGACTGCCTTACCTACAAAGAAGAGAGGGAATGGAAACAAAAGGTGCAGAAAGGGTCCCGGCGCTAGAACACAGCTGAATGCTCACATAAAAGTTGCCCAGCTGTTCCAGGACAATCGTCTCTTGCTTTACCCTAGGAATGGAATCATGAGTATCTGTACATTGATTGATCTGTACATTGGATCACCTTTGTGTTATACGCATGTAGAAGTCTCTACTTGTGAGTTCATCTGATTTTATTTGGATACATTTATTAAACATACTTGCTACACTTTGTTGGTGTGTTCACTTTTCTATGTGTTTCTGAAAATAAGTTTATAGGGTAAATGTAGTGAATTCAGCCTATTTAATGACATTTAGGGCTCGTTCACAGCAAGTTCTTTTGAGCTACACTGATATGTACCGACCAGCACAGTGTTAATATCGGGGAACACAGAAAACAAGCATGTCCTGCTCACAACACTACGCTGGCTGGAGGTGGGTTGTAGTGTGTTGTTTAAAAATGCAGACATGCTGCATTTTTCCACTGCAACACCGCTTGTGCACACACCGTACACTAGCACACAAGCTAAAATGGATCGATGTATTGTGTGGGCTGGTGTGAATGAGTCCTTCAACTTTACTTTTCCTTAAATTAAGATAGCACTTTTTCTTCAAGTATGGTCTTCACAAGAGCTGGGTCTGTTCGGCCTTTTGAAGCCTTCTGAACTAAGCCTATGAGTTTATTCATGACCTTAAGGTTTCCTTGTCGTATGGCAGCAACCTGGAAATAAGGACAGAAAAGTCAATAGCAATAACTTCTACCAAAATATTTCATTGATGTATCAATGTTGTTCTATTCATAATTTTCCTTTATCTTTGATTAGTTATAAATGTTCCTCTGGGGAATGCTTCTTTAAGTATCCAAAAGATATGAGAACGTGGTCTAAAAATCCAAATGCTGTATAGTTATTTATGTATTTTTGAGACAGTTGTGACAAAAATGTTTGGGTGAGAATGCATATTCATACACAGAGAAGTCTATATTGTTGCTGGTCTTATCTTGGCTTAGCCAGATAAATGATTCCCGGACAAAACATCTCCCAAGGCTGGTTCGCCAGGGTGTGACTATAGCGGTCACAGGCTGCTGTTACACATTGAGGGAAATTTATCAAAACTGTAGCAGACAAAATCTGGAGCTGTTGCCCATGCCTACCAATCAGCTTCTCTCTTCAGTTTGCTCAGGTAAGATTTGAAAATGATAGAGTGAAGCTGATTGGTTGCAGTGCAAATCTGCTCCAGATTTTGTCTGCTCCAGTTTTGATAAATTTCCCTCATTGTCTTTATGGGCACCTTTACACAACACTAAAGTTGGCCATACACTGCTTGAATGTTACCTGAGTCCCGCTGTCAGAATACAATAGCTGGCAGGGAGATTCATGCCATTTAGTGTGGATGGAGGGTTTTTTTTTGTTCAGCCCACAGACTGAAAAAAAGAAAATCGATAAGCTTATAGCTAGCCTAACTCCACATAATTGAAACATGGATTTCTGATGCAATACATTTTCTACTTTCAAGCTTTTCTTAGCTATGTTTTGGTTTTCAAGTATTTATAGGCAAAACATTCACAAACAATACGGATTTCAATTTTTTTCCTGAATATATGCATGCAGTGTATACAATTCATAAATCACGATTGCCAGTATTCCTGAACTTGATTCTTCTTAGGACAGACAGATCACCATGCAAATTTAAGGTGAATCACAGCTTGTCTAACAATGCTATAGATGACTGCAACTATCAAGTAAAAACTGAAATTATGTGACTCTTGCTATGCACCATTGCTAGCATGGGTTCTTGTATTCTGCTGCAGGCTTGCTTAACAGGTGGCCTGAAAATGTTGTATTTTGGCAAGTAATTAAAGGTTTTCTCTTTGTGAATTTCCTGTACTATTCGGACAGATTTAATTCACTATTTTCTTTCTTTTGCATAAACACCAAAATATTCAAAGTAAATCTACACAAGTGATGCTTTAATCTTTTAGTATATGTTACAAGCAAGTCTAAAAATAACATTCAACCTACCCTTCAGAAGAATGCAAGAACAGATGATATTTGCCTGCAGAGGATACTGTAAAACACAGTATTCCTGCATCGATTCTGCTTCTGAGATTTCTATTTGCTACTTATACAATGGGTTCTGTGCCAATTAAAATTATGTAATTGTTATTTATAGAATTATAGAACTGTCTGGCACACTGAAAAATGGGGCGAGACCTGACATGAATGACTGATCAGACCCTATAGTGGGTAGATTTGCTGGAATAGATAAAATCCGTAACAGACAAGTGTTTTTACCCCTTTAGTAAGATAGTACAGTAGGCCAGTGTAATCGGAAATAATCTCTTTACACCGCACTGCATACTGTTCTGCTTTACTGAATAAGCCCAATGGAGTGACATATCAAAAGAACCTCTAAGATTTAGACAGTGCCTAGTTATCTGGCACACATTACCTCCTTTCTTCGACAATCTCTGCTCAAGAAGAATGTATATTCTGGTCTGGCATGACATTAAATAAGCCAACTTCTCAGTCTGCCTCTTGGTGCCTATTGGGTAGTGATGTCACTGTCAGTATAGCTGTATACATTTACCTTCACAGCCTTGGAACCAGAATGGAGCCCAATCTCCCAGCAGTCAACATCATTGCATAGTTCTGATTGTTCATCATAATCATGAATAAAGGTTGTTCTATGCTAAAGTACATTTTATACCAGGCACTGTGTACTCTACAGGTAACCTCAATGCTAACAGGCTCGCTTTACCTTTTCCTTATAGTATAATCATAAGTATATATTAAAAATGGTTGAGATTGATCTCTCTGCCATTTTGGAAATAATGTGATATAATTCATAAAACATAAACTGTTCAATACCTGTACGTGGTGTTCATCTACAATCTTTTGACAGATGTCCTCTAGCTGTCTCCTATCAAGAAGTCCTAGGTTCTTCTCCTTGATGATCTGTGTTGGACTCTTATTTCCTCCCTTGCAGAGCTCCTGGAACACCTACAGTCCAGTACAAGAAAACAGACTTTGAATGAAGCCATAATCTTCTCTCCTGGGCTTTCTCTGACTGATGCTTATTTGATTAAAATGAGATCGCAGATTTTCCACTTTGCAGTATTTCTAATGCATGATCTAACAATTGCCCTTGTACTAATGAGATAACTGAAGAGGCTTGATAACGTAATTAAGTTTCAGATTAAATGAAAAAAAAGTCTTAATTGCTTTTAGCATCAACAAGATACAGTCAACTTGAACTAGAGATTACTAAATACAACAAAAAGTTCTGTGGAATCAGTAGCTGAAAAAATGTAATATCAATGTATAATTTGTTCCCATTTTTGGACTTAGTAGAGAGGTTTTGTAGGAAAACTTTGTAAACACCATCAGAAGACCTATTAATAAAGATGAGCTTTACTGTTGTCAGCTCACTTTTACACTGTGTACACAGATCTCTGCATAAGTCAATTACTAGGCACAAATCCAGTTATTCAATTCACTGAGAATGAAAGGTTGGGGAGGCTAAAAAAAAAAAAGACTGATCTACCAAAATGAATTGGGTCACAGAAGCTAATGGGTAAACCAGAGCGGGATCGTGCTAGAAGCATTATTTTCATCCCGTCTTTCCTACTTCTTGGCTCAGCTTAAGCCTAACCCCATTTTAGTGAGTCACGGGAAAGCACCACACTACAACTCCACCAACTATTCAGGCATTCACATTGGAGCTCTTTGCATGATCTTTGTTAGTGTGCTTACAAACTGCTACATGCAACAGGAAAGTTTACCATTGTATGCAGTAAAAGGCATCTTTAAAGCGGTCAAAAAAAAAAGTGTTGCTGGTTTTTTTGCCTAGCATATTAGGCATAGCATATTAGCACATTATAGTAATAGCTGTCTGCTCTGCCATCCATTGCCGGTGATGCCATCTTCTCCTGGGTTTAGTGTCTTCGGCCCCTTGATTGGCTGGTCAGCAAGATGTAACTCCCACACATGCGCATCTCGGCATATCAGGTCTGTGCACTGAGCTGCACATGCATGGCTTAGTACTCAGGAAAAAGAAAAAAATTGCTGACAGGCAGGTAGATTTTTTTTTTTGCACAAGAGACTTACACATTCATTATCCCTCTCTGGTGCATCTAAACAACTGCAAGCCATCATAACATGAAGCAGCTTTGCCCTTTCCAACCCCCCAAAACATTATGCCGGAGCCCAGCTGAAGTTTTGCCTTCACTATAAGTGAATTCACAGACTCTGCACAAATATGTAGCTTATGAGATCTGAACTTTCCAATTTCGTAAGTTTTCAACCTGCACAATGTATAGTGTGGGAGTCAGAAAAGACTTCCTTCATGACAGGTTCACTTAAACATTTAATGGGATAATCCACCCAACTGCAAATGTTTCTTCCTTCCAGCTAAATAGTCTTGTTTCCAACGGAGTAAACTTCTCTGGTACTCATTGATTTCAGATCGGCTGGCTCATCTGCTTGTCTAATGACTTTCAGGAGAGATAGTTAATCACACATCAATAACGAGGAAAGAAGTTCTATTAAAACTAAAATTGCAAAATTGTAATCTCTCATAGAACTAAAAAGCAGATTTCCTCCAAACTCGACAGGTTAAGCAGCATGTTCTAAAGAAAATTGAAAAAGTATGGTAGCAATATAGAACAGTGAAACGCATTAAAGCAGGGGCCATCAGAGAGGGTTCTGTGACAATCAACCAATTTTCAAAATAACATCTTTATACAAGAGTCTGCAAAATGTAAATTTACATGAACAAAATAAATAAAAGTGATACTGAAGAAGTGAAAATAAAAAATTATAGCTAGCCACAGTGGGATTTAAACCAGCGATCACAGCAAACCTCAACAGCTGCTTTGGCAGGGTGAACATGTCTCACCATCACTAGTGATGGGCTCAGCCGTGTTCGCGAGCGCCTCGTGCCGAGCCCGCCAGGAAGCCGTCAGCGCGCAGGACCAATCACAGGCACTGAGACATGTTCCCGGTCCGCAGCTGCAGAGATCGGGAAATGTCTCAGTGCCTGTGATTGGCCCTTTGCGCTGACAGCTTCCCGGCGGGCTCGGCACGAGGCGCATGCGAACACGCCCGAGCCCATCACAGCAAACCTCAACAGAGCTGCTTTAGCAGGGTGAACATGTTGAGAATCCCTGTAGTCCCCAGTAAGACATTTGCAAATTGGGGAGAGCCGTGTTATCATTTGAGTAGCCCAGTATGTCCTTCACCATAGATTTGCCTATTTGGTGGTTTCAAAGTACATATATCTGTGCACATCTAAGTGCACATGGCCTCCTTCGTTTTTGTTAAAGTTCTGTTTATCTAAAATGATGACGTTAAATGTATTTGTTTTCATAGCTTTGACTTATCACCTCTCCGTCAGCTGGAGTGACTTAATTTCCCAAATGATGTAAAGCTAGCATTGTATTAGACTTATTAATGACTCATTATACTTGTTCTCCAAATGCTGTAAAACAGATTGCAATACAAAGTCTTATTATTCATTACGTATATTCATCTTTCAGCTAATATAATGTCTGATCTGAACAAGAAGAGTATAATTGCAGCATGTATCACTGATCTCGGCAATTAAATGCCATATTTACCTCAAGCAAAAGAAAAGATTAAAAAAAAGACACTACCACTGCAGAGAAGACATGCACGGCCGATTCAGGGAAAATAAATTACATAAAAGGCAAACTGAATCATCATGAAAAATAAAATTAGTTGAGGATCTAGGTAATGGATTGCAATAAATATCACACTATTTCAGCACATCTTTGTTAAAAAAAATTTTTTTATCCCATACAGCTGCAGCAATACCAACTCATCCACTTATATGGATATATTTGGAGCTACTCAGTGATATGAGTCAAACATGCAAAAACAAATGCATTCAGAAACAAACAGGATACCAAATCCATGTATCTAGACTAAACTTTAAGCACAAATGTTTTCTAAATAACAAAAGATCACTGATGATAGAAGCAAAGTTTTCCTACTGAGTGTGGGCTTTCTCCCCGTTTTCTAAAACGCTGCATTAAACTGCAAAAAAGGAAAACTGGGGGGATTACTTTTGACTTCCATTCAATGTCATCATACTTCTCGCAAGATTTGAGTAGCCCAGATCTTGTGAGGAGATAGTCATGCACTGTGCTGTGTCTTCCCACAAAACTTGGACAACTCTGCATTTCCCGAGATCCCCTTGGCAGGATGATGATGACGACCCCAGCGCTACAGAATCTAGGGGTAAGGTAAATATATTTTATTTTTTCTAGAGCTGCAACAGTTAATCGATTAAGTCGATTAAAATCGACGATTGAAAACGTTGGCAACGTGTCGGCCGAACAGGCCGAAGCCGCGCACGCTGCTGGTCTCTATAGAAACTAGTAGTCCATCACTGGAGCCTTTTTTTTTATCCGATTAACCGATTAATCGAACTTAATAATCGGCCAACTAATCGATTATGAAAATAATCGTTAGCTGCAGCCCTAATTTTTTCCTTCACTTTTTTTTTTTTGCAATTCAATGCAACATTCTAGCAAGAGGGAGCTCGGACTAAATCAGAGGACCTTTCTTGGAGCGCTTTAAAAAATATATACAAAACCCGATTTTTCCTGTAACACAAGCTTGGGTCACCTTCCCACATCCAAGTCTACTGATTGGACACTCAGGCAATCAAATAAAATGACCAATAAGGGAGACTTGGGAGACTGGAGTAGGCAAGCTTTACATGAGATATCAAGATTTGCATATAACTTCAAATCCCAATATCTATGCATCTACTGCTTGTTTGATGTACATCTTTCACTGAAAGCAAACTGCTTAATCTGAACACAATTAAGCGCTAATCAACTCTAGAATTTTCTCCCCACAGCCACATATGACATAAAAGTAGGGACTACAGCTTCCAAAAACATACTTTTAGCTTTAGGGCCACAGCACGCTAGTAACAACTAACCAATGACATCATTGATATAGAGGGCAATGTTTTCACAGCTATTTGCTTATCCACCCAGCAAAGGACAGAAGCCATGGATAAAGGGGAGCATTTTTCAGCCCTTTGTAGGGATCCTGTAGCTGCCAACTTCAAGTGTGCCATGGCCAATAGTTACCTTACTCTAATCACAGTGCAACAGCAGCGCTGTACTCAAGTTTGTTCAGATATACGGTTTGTGTTTAATTCTAGGAAAAATGTGTTGTACAAGTAAAAAGGAATAACTCTCTCTGGTCTGTTTAAAAGTGTGTTGGAAGGGAACTGGGTCTTTTCTCCTTTGTTGTTCAGTAGCGAGGAAATATTATACAGGGCCAAGGGTTAACCACTAGAAATGGCTAACCAGACAGCATATCCCTTTTCTCGGGCAAGGTTTCTCTGAGATTGGAAAAAGTTGAAGCACAGCACTCCAATTTCCAAGGATACACAGCTTTTGAGTAAGTAATTGCAATCAATAAAGCATGGTTTTGTTAAAGAATTTAGCCCTTTTCCTGCATTTTTACTGTTTCATTTCTCACCTACAGCTTACAGTAGAATAAATGGTGCTACTAATTGTTTTAAGCCCGGTGATAGTTGCGCAAATGTTTATCAAAATAATATTTTCTATAAAAATAAGGTAACATTTTTGTTAGAGCATTCAATAACATATTTTACAAAATTCCTACTAAAACGTAAAAGCTAAAACTGTATTGAGTTGATAACAAATATTTATACATTTTGAATTGTACCTTTTTGCAAAACAGTGAAAATAGAAGGTACACAAAACTGTAAGGGCTCATGCACACAGACTTTTATTTTTTTTTTTTTTAAAAGAAAGAGATTCCACACATTTAACCTGCATGGAAAAAAAACCTTTTCAGTCCAAAAGGAACTTTAGATCAAAACTGCAGTTTGCCATTGAACATACAGGCAAAGCCCAGGCCTTTTGGAACGATGTGCTGTGGAATGAAGAATCAAAGATAGACTTATTTGGCCACAGTATCATTAGACATTT